TGAAAATAATAATTACTATTATTATCATTGTAATAATCAGTAGTAATAGTAATAGTAGTATTAGTATAATGATATGAATAATTATCATTATCATTATTGCTATAATTATTATTATTATCATATTATCATTGTTATTATTACTATTAATACCTTTGTTATTATTATTATCATTTTAATATTATTATCATTATTATTTTTATCATTGTCATTATTATTATGACCATAATTTATTATTATTATTATTATCATTATTATTTCTATTATTATCAAAAATAATCAAAATTCTTATTGTTATTATTACTATTGCTATCATTATCATTACCATCGTTATTATTACTATTACTATCATTATCATTATCATCGTTATTATTACTATTACTATCACTATCATTACTACCTCTTATCGAAGTTTTTTTATTTATATATTATTATTGGTATTATTTTCATTGTCATTACTATAAGTATTATCATTATCATTATTATTGGTCATCGTCATCATAACTGTTATCGGTATATCATCATTATTATCATTATCACCATTATCATTATCATCATCATTATTATTATTATTATCATCAGCATCTTATGACTTCTTTTCCCGAAAGTGTGTCTTAGCTAACATAGTGGCATTGAATTTAAAACTTGCCATCTAACTTGGCCGTAGGGTACTTATCATTACCTTTATTACTTCCGCCAAGGTACTTCAGAAAGGCGTGATTTTAATGCAATTCTTCAAGTGTGAATATTTTTATTGCATCAGCGACCCTATTACCTTTTTGCTTCTCGTTGTCATTATTATCACTATCATCCACATCATTATTGTTGCTCCTGTTAATATCATCGGCACCACCCTCATCATCGTGTATATAACTAGTACATGTGTACAGCCTCAAAACATTGCCTTTCATGTAGTCCGTCGTGATTGGAAATGCTGACGTCAATAATGTTGGTGGTAGAGTTGGGTATGTCACTCGTTGCATATCCACTTGTTTATCAATGTGGACGAACATGCTTTGTATATTGCATGTCAAAATGTGATAAAAAAGATACGCAATAACCTCGACTGGCCACTTGTAAGCTTTTTTATAACACTAAGGAAGGATAAAAGCCTTCGCTGAGACTCTGTAGGTCACGAGTGTATTATACCCCACAGCACACTCATTCTTGATGTGGACGACTTTCTGTCTAAGGTGCAATTCCAGAGTGTTTGGATGACCTTGGTTTGTGAAGCAGACTAGCGGCCATGCAGAGATTGAAAACTTTTGTCCTACTACGCCCAGAATGATCCTGGTAGCCTCATTTCAGATTAGTTTCAATTCCGTCCCTTGGCTGTGATCAGCGTAACAGAAATATAGTCTACAATAAGGTGATTGTAGGTACATATATAAATCTCTTTGCTTTGTTTCCGTTTTCCTGTGTGTCGGCCAATAATTGCTCTATTAATAATCTTGCTGCACCTTCTTTCAGAGAGTGAGGCTCCGGTCGACCGATACCATGGGTTTCGAAGACCTGATTCCACTCTAAGCTCATATAGACTTGTACTGGAGATCAAGTGTCTCAGAGCCATGGAATTTAATTCAACCACAGAGATCGTATGTCTTACTCAGTAGCATTCCTCAGACACGAGGTCAAACAGCACTGGGTTCTCAATCTGCTGCATCTCCAATGGAGAGAATTGTAAGGTCATATATACAGTTGATCTTGCATCCTCTGAAAGGCGATGATATGGATTCTAGTCATTAGATTGTTAATGCTGGACGAACGAAGCACCCTACCCAGTGGTGTTCCTTTTTCAAGTGGTAGGTGCTGAGATAGATGGTCTTGAAACCTGACTGGTTGTTCTGTTCCTGAAAATGTCAAGGGCTTGCCTCTTTGGATCAGTGTCTCCTAAGTAGCAAGAGGGCTTGCTAATTCAGTAGCCTCCGCTATATCAATGAATAAAACCACAGATACAGTACTGCTAGTAGTGCTCAAGAGGGTGACTATGCTATAAGATATGTCCATACCCTTTGTGAACCCATTGCGGGGTCTCGGCGTTCACTACAACCAGTTAAGTACCATTCTCTCCTCTATTTTGGCCAGACGGTTGAGGAAAGAACAGGTGATATCTCCCCAGGTCCTCTGGTTTTAAGATGTGGCTCTGTCAGCCCTCTTTCAACCTGAGGAGAGTGAGAGTTTTCCAAAATATATTAAAGAGTTGCAAAATTGCAAGCTCACCTGCCAATCCTAGATTGGAAATGGTTGGTTTGGAAATCCTTTCATAGCCTGGGCTTACGCAAATATATTAAGATATATCCTTAGCTCCCTCAGACTCAACTGTTAGACTTGGCACTTATTCTTGCAGAAATCTCAGACTCTTGTCTGTTTCTGATTGTGAGTCACGGGTGTGTCCACCTAGAGGAAGTGATTGGCATTCATTTGACACAGTATCACAGCTCTATAGGGAAGAAGTCTGGTGGCCGAAGGACTCAAGCCATACCAGTTATTTTTCCTGATAACTTCCATTAGGAGAGCTAAGGGTTTTTTCAGCCTTTGGAAATGCTTCCTGTGCATGTTTACTCTGTGCTGATCTCCTTTACCTTACCTTTACAATGCCACACATTTTTTGTGACTTCTGGACCATGTTCGAGATTTGGGAATGGTATGTGATGCTGCTAGTATATGACATTAATTTATTTGGTCTTGAATGCATCCAGACCACTGATCTGTGGGGACTCATTGCATCTGAGACAGTGGGCCAAGGCATTCTGAGAGGTTTAGCAGTTGGCTTTATCCATGTTCCGTCTAGGCTTGGGCCTAAACGGAATCACCAAATCCATGTATTTCTTATTGATCATCTTTCTAAATCCATAGATTCAATTCTTGCCTGAAATAGTCATTCTTGGTGACTTTAAAGATGAGAATTCAGAATAGCTTTGCCCATTTACACATGCTGGTCAGGAAACTGCTGTGGTATATCAGAAAGTAATGTGGTAGGCATGGCAAAGTTCTTTATAGATATACTTGTAAAAGACTGGATAAAGATGTTCAGCATCATGCATTTTCTATCATTCATTACTTTCGTAACTTTAAAGTGGTTTATAATTACTTATTCACAGTAATTAATCTTCTATTATTTTAATAACATTTGATTATCTTTAATTACCCTTATTCATGATACTATTTATTGATTGATATAAGAGTTAATTATTGATCTTTTTATATTTGTATGATTTTCTAGGAGGCTCCAGGTCACAATTTTTATTTGTATGGTGATAAAAAAAAAAGAAAATTAAGTCAAGATACGTATGTATTTTAAAAACTCAACAGTTGAAGTAGTTGTTACCTTGCCGCTCTCTCTCTCTCTCTCTGTCTTGTCTTGGCAGAACGAGGGGTATATATGCGGGTAATTCACCACTTCCAAGACGGCACGAACTCGTTTGGTGACTCGTTTGCATACTGTAATTGGTGGAGTCTTGAGTACTGTTACGGCACTGTGCTTGTTCCTGCGTAAACTACAATATATCCCACGGCAGAAGAGACGGAAAGCCTCAGCGTCAGCTCATCAGCGAGACCTCGCGGAAGAAGCGGCGAGTCTTCCTCCAGAACCCTATCCACGGGAGGCGGCCCATCAGTCTTCGGGATGGTCTGGCGGCCCTCAGCGCAGGTTCACGGGTTTCCGAAGTTCGTCTGAGGCTGGACGTCTTGACAGCAACTTCACTGGCCAGGATCCAGGCAGGGATGGGATACAGACAAACATGGAAAACTGCGGACACAAGCAGGCGTAACTCAAGACGAGTAAACAAACTGAAAAAAAACGACAATTAGTAAGGCACATAGAGGAAATCTATATATTATTTCATGATTTGAGATCGAGTTATCATAGGGTGCAACCGAGGAGAATCAAACCGAACAGGAGAATCAGACAATACAGAGAATCAGAATCCTGTGGCAACAACGAAAAATCAGCATCACAAGAAAACAACTTTAACTGGTTCGCATGAACCTTTCTTTCAGCAAATGGTGGGGACAAATCACGAACGATAAAAGTTACTGGACTGGTCAACCGACTCACTCTACACGGACCCAACCACCTAGGGTGCAAGCACGACTAACACCTTGAACTTGATCATGAGACCGTCGCATAACGAGAGATCCGACATTAATTTTCCGTTCACGAACTTTCCGATTGTAGTATTTAGCATTTTCTTCTCGTGTTTTGCAAGAAGTTTCAGCTGCTACTTCTCGAGCCTTGAGAAGTCTGAGAAGATGATCGGTACTTGTATCATCTTCATTCATGGTAACACGGTTGGTGAGCCCAATTGGATAAGAGCATGAATGACCCATAAACAGGAACAAAGGTTGATTATTAATCGCTCTGTGAAAAGCCGTGTTAAGAGCATACCGCACTTGGGTACATATTCATCCCATGACAAGGGGCATCATCACAGAGAGTAGCTATAGCATCTTTTACGCATCTATTGCTTCTTTCGACCAAGCCGTTCGCCTGAGGATAAAAAGGCGTTGTATAATGCATTTTAATGCTTAAAATGTCACAGACTTCAGAAAATAATTTGTTCTTGAATTCTGAACCACTGTCTGTAGTTAACATTCTAGGAACTCCAAATAGTGTGAAATAATGT